TATTTTGTCCTAATACCATCGCCTTACTGGGCTGGTATTCACAGGACAACCCTTAACAGACCGAAATATTATTTGATAAAATATTAATATTAAATATTAAATAATATTCTCAGATTCATAATCACAAAATATGCACACTTCTTTTTGGAACATTAGAAGTCAATAAAATATTTTGACGTTAATGTGATAAAATGTGGAACACTTCCTAACAAGCGTATCTTCTTCTTCTGGCATTCTTTGCAAATCCATTTATGATTTTCCTCCTGTGGGAAGCCAGTGAGGCATCTGTTGGTGGCTTGTACTGGAAAGTTATGATGTCTCTGCAGAGCATGTTGGGGGACATTAACTTTGCATGTGATTTAGCTGCTATGTGAAGCTCCACACCAGCAGGTCAAACACGCAGCTGGGGACTCTGTGTGTGCCGGAGGAAGTTGGGGGTAGTTTAAACTCACAGTGGGGTATGGTGGCAATTAACACAGATAGCTCAGGCAGTAGTGGATGGGAATTAATCGCTCTACATTGTTAGAAAAACACATTCCTTTCATGCTTTTGCACAAATAATTCTGTGGCAAGAAGCATTTGAATAAAAAAAACAGAACCGTCTCATTCTTAAGAGTCTTGAGGTACATATATCATGTTTAACATTTTTATTATTAACGTGATCTGAATCTCATTCCAAATGATCTGGTGTGCTCTTTATGTTGCATCTCCACCTTCTAACCGCTGTCTCAGGCCCAGAGCCCATCAGCCTGAGTTTCCATGTAATTCTCAGCACATGGTTGCCCAGGAGGCAGAGCCTGGCACTCTTTGATCATAACTGATATTGAATGGCATTTACCCCCCGGACAGAGTGAAGCCTCTTTCTCTGCCTCTGTAAACAGATGGCCACAGGACAGTGCAGGGTGTAGTTATTATTCGAAATATCTCACAGAGACTGTGGGAAGCCACAAGCTTTTTACTTTTTTATTTTCTTGGATGGACGATCAAAACTATTTCACTGAGAATTGTGGGGTATTTGTGCTTCTTATAACGGTATCCTCCCGTCAAACACAGAAGACGATGCTGTCAACCTCTGACATTTACTGGAAAGTTATTTTTCAGCTCTCATTCAAAGAGGTAAATATTGACTTCACAACTTAATATTCGATTTGAATACTCTTCAGATGTCGGCATATGAAAGTCATAAATGAAATTAAAGTGAAAAAATTTCTTCACACATCTACTAAAGGTTCATCTTACTCTCCTGTGAGAGGTGTTGTGAGAAAGTACAGAAGGTTTAGAGGAATGTGAAGATCTGTGTCTTCCAAGTTCTTCAGTGAGATAAGATGGATAGTTAAACACGGGCATTACCGGATTACCAGATTTAAGGAGCATCCTGAACATGTTTTTGTTTGTATTTACTCTCATACTATTATTTGTAAAAAGTTGTGATTTTGGAGTGGTCATTTGTATATTGTGTTCTTGCCATAATGTCTTTTTCTCTCTCCCTTTCCCATCTGCAATCCACCCAGTACCCAAACAACAGTAAAGCAGACCAGTGGAACTCCCATTCCGTGCCATATTGTCTGTCTTTGTTGCAGTAATCCAGCCTACTTCTTGCCATGCTTTTAGTTAATCCATGTTATTTACCTGTTGATTCCTTGTGCTCTAGCATAATTTAGCTAGAGTTTTCCTCACTGTACCAGGGTGTTCTCTCGATCCTGTGTTTGCTTACTGGTCTGACTCTCCACTATAATTCCACCCTGGAAAATTCTCCAGCCTCTATGGAAGGTTGCCACCATCCTAACTTACCAACTCTGGTGTTCTTGTGGTCAGGTTGAAAGGCTACCTGCTCTGTTGCTGCTGCTTTTAAAGTATGATGTACATTTGTTTTTGGGTTAATACACAGATGTTTTTTTGTTTGACTTCGGGTTTTGAGTTGGTTGGAGTAAAATTTTGTTGCTTGTCAAAATTTGATGTATTACTTGATTTATTGAGAAGGACGTTGTTTTCCTGTGTACAGCTCTTGATTTCTGGACATTATTTATTGTTATACGTCTTATCTGCTCGAAACAAACTTGTTGAGACTTGATCTTTCATTCTTATTATTTTTATTTTTTTTAATATTTTTTCAGCATTAGTTGCCTTTATTTATTTTTCTTGACAGTAGGCAGACAGGAAAGAGGGGTAGAGCGAGGTGGAGACATTTGGCAAATGTCGCCGGGTCCGGGACTCGAACCCGGGACAGCCACTTCGAGGACTGTAGCCTCTGCGTGCTTAACCCCTACACCATCGGCGGCCCGATCTCTGAATTCTTAGGCTGGCTCTAGGGACGTGGAATGCCACCTCGCTGGTGGGGAAGGAGCCTGAGCTTGTGCAGGAGGTAGAGAGATATTGTCTAGAAATAGTTGGGCTCACGTCCACGCACAGCGTGGGCTCTGGAACCCATCTCCTCGAGAGGGGCTGGACTCTCTTCTACTCTGGAGTGGCCCACGGGGAGAGGTGGCGGGCTGGGGTGGGTTTCCTTGTTGCCCCCCACCTCAGTCTCGTGTTGGGGTCTCTGAATGTCGTTTCGGCCTATGGGCCAAGTGGTAGTGCGGAGTACCCGGCATTCTTGCCATCCCTGTAGGGGGTGCTGCACAGTGCCCCTCCCGGCGACTCCATTATTCTGCTGGGGGACTTCAATGCCCAGGTGGGAAATGACAGTGACACCTGAAGAGGCATGATCGGAAGGAATGGCCTCCCCGATCTGAATCCGAGTGGTGTTTCGTAATTGGACTTCTGTGCTAGTCACGGATTGTCCATAATGAACACCATGTTCAAGCATAAGGGTATTCATTAGTACACTTGGCACCAGGACACCCTAGGCAGGAGGTCAATGATCGACTCTGTTCGGCTGCATATTTTGGACACTCGAGTGAAGAGAGGGGCTGAGCTGTCCACTGATCACCACCTGGTGGTGAGTTGGATCCACTGGAAGAGGAGAAAGCCGGACAGACTTGGCAGACCCAAGCGCATAGTGAGGGTCGACTGGAAACGTCTGGCAGAACCCTCGGCCAGTGATGTATTCAACTTCCACTTCCGGGAGAGCTTTGACCAGATTCCGGGGGATGTTGGAGACATAGAGTCCGAGAGGATCATGTTCTCCGCATCTATTGTCGATGTTGCTGCTTGTAGCTGTGGCCGTAAGGTCTGCGGTGCCTGTCGCAGCCGCAATCCCCAAACCTGGTGGTGGACACCGGCAGTAAGGGATACTGTCAAGCTGAAGAAGGAGTCCTATCGGCTGTGGTTGGCTTGGGTGACTCCTGAGGCGGCTGATGGGTACCGTGAGGGCAGGGTGGCCGCGGCCCGGGCTGTGGCAGAGGCAAAAACTCAGGCCTGGGAGGAGTTTGGCGAGGCCATGGAGAAGGACTACTGGTTGGCCTCGAAGTGATTCTGGCAAACCATCCGGCGCCTCAGGAGGGGGAAGCAGTGCTCCGCCAACACTGTTTACAGTGGGGGTGGGGACATAATCTTGCGGTGAAAGGAGTACTTCAAGGATCTCCTCAATCCTGCCATCACGCATTCCCTGGTGGAAGCAAAGGCTGGGGACTCGGGGTTGGACTCTTTCATCACCCAGGCTGAAGTCACAGAGGTGGTTAAAAAGCTTCAAGTCTCTGGATGTTGTGGGGCTGTCATGGTTGACACGCCTCTTCAACATTGTGTTGTGGTCGGGGACAGTGCATCTGGACTGGCAGACTGGGATAGTGGACCCCCTTCATAAAAAGGGTGACCGGAGGGTGTGTTCCAACTATAGGGGGATCACACTGCTCAGCCTCCCTGGTAAGGCCTACGCCAGGGTATTGGAGAGGAGAGTCTGGCCGATAGTCGAACCTCGGCTTCAGAAGGAGCAGTGTGGTTTTCGTCCCAGCTGTGGAACACTGGACCAGGTCTACACCCTCTGCAGGGTACTCGAGGGTTCATGGGAGTTTGCCCAACTGGTCCACATGTGTATTGTGGACCTGGAGAAGACATTTGACTGTGTCCCTCGTGGTGCCCTGTGGGGGGTGCTCCAGGAGTACGGAGTCGGGGGCCCTTTATTAGGGGCCATCCGGTCTCTGTACAAGTGGAGCAGGAGTTAGGTCCGCATTGCCGGCACTAAGTCGGACTTGTTCCCAGTGGATGTTGGACTCCATCAGGGCTGCCCTTTGTCACCGGTTCTGTTCATAACTTTTATGGACAGGATTTCTAGGCGCAGCCAAGGGCAGGAGGGGGTCTGGTTTGGGGACCAGTGGGTGTCGTCTCTTCTTTTTGCAGATGACATGATCCTGCTGGCCCCCTCTAGCCAAGACCTACAGCATGTGCTGGGGCGGTTCGCAGCCGAGTGTGAAGTGGCTGGGATCACATCAGCTCTTCCAAGTCCGTGGCCATTGTTCTCGACCGGACAAGGGTGGCTTGTCCTATTGAGGTTGGAGGGGAGTTCCTGCCTCAAATGGAGGAGTACAAGTGTCTTGGGGTTTTGTTCACGAGTAAGGGTAGAATGGAGCGGGACATTGACAGACGGATTGGTGCGGCTGCCACAGTAATGGGGACGCTGTGCTGGTTCGTTGTGGAGAATAGGGAGCTGAGCTGAAAAGCGAAGCTCTTGATTTATTGGTTGGTCTAAGTTAATTGGTCTTTCTCAATTGCCCTTGTGCATGGTTGTTTTCCCTGCGTGTTTCTGTGTTGCCCTACGATGAACTGGTAACCTGTCCAAGGTGTACCCCACCTCTTGCCTGTATACCGCTGGAGAAAGGCACCTGCTTCAGTATAGAAGAAGCAGGCATAGAAAATTGATGGATGGTTTACTTAAATCATTTTGCTCATTTAAAAACTGTGTTGGTTTACCAAACAATGTTCCATCTACAGCAAACTTGCAGTTTCCCGCAATAAAAGGTACAACAAACCTTCTCAGATATTTACATTCTCCCCCCTCTTCCATTCCTGGTGTGGGATGGTAGATTCATATAAATATTCCCTCTTCCCTCCCTCTCTTTTTATACCACCCTCCCATTAATTCCACAAAACCTACGATTTACACCCCTATTTCCCTCCCACAACAAACCCAAACTTCTGCACCTCCACACTATCTGCCCATTCTCACAGCCAGTGAATAAATTTAATATCTAGGGTTAGGGTTCTGATATAATATACAAATAATTTTATTGATAAATCTGAGATAGTAATACAAAATAAACCAATATTGGTTTTGCTGTCTTGGTATATCAGGTGGCAGTTCTCTATTTATACAACTAAAGCAGAACTAGACTTTCTTTAGCTTATTTACTGTGTGATGTTGAATCAAGACAAAACAAGGAAAAACAGATGTGGCAAATCCAATACAGTTACTCTGGAAATAAGTTTTGAAAGCTCAGAAATCTCAGCTGGCATGTGGAAGAGTTGCACACATCATAAACTCTGTTTTGCAAAAGTGGGCAGGGCCTGATCCAACCTGTGCTTTCGTTTTAAAACCAGACACTTGATGGGTTTCGCAGGCTTTAGTAATTTACTCTCAAATTAGAAGAGATGTAAAGAGGTGAACAAGCACCATAATCAAAGTCAGGTTATATTCAAATGTGCTTTAGATGTTCGTTGGTCTATGTTGCCTTGTTGGAATTGTGCCTCTTAGTTTAGATTTAAATGATTTCTACTTTTGCAAAACAATTTCTGTATCAACATCTGTTCTGTATACAGATTATAAATTTATCCTAAATAATGCATGATTCCTAAGAAGGAGCCATAGTTTCTATGCTCATGCTCTTATATTTTTGTAAGACCTCCTAAAATCCATCCAAGAAACTACCATTTTATTCAGGCTGCAAAGTTTTGAACATTTTAATGAGAATGATGATTCCTCTGATTGAATCATCTGTTGCCAATGAAACAGTCCTAATTAACCCATCTAAAAGCAGTGGTGTGTATTCATGCCTATAAACAGCCTTCCCTGTGTCAAAGGAAAGCACATTACTGACATAAAGCTCTCCCTAGCAGCTTGCTCTGGTCGTTAGCACACAGGCATGATCAATTAATCTAATTTGCCAGGACTATTGTAGAAACTTGTCAACAGCTTGTACAGTATGTCATATGAGCATTTATCTCATTCCCTATTATAGTACATCATCAAAGCAGGCCAGATGTCCTGGCATAAATAACACTCCTCATACAGATGAACGATTCAGTTTCCCGCTGCATCAATAACATGGCAAAAGGAGAATAATGAAAATCTAGAGAGGAAAACATCCTGAAAATAGACAACACATCATCTCAAGGCACTTCACAAAGTCAATTCAATCGAATCATACAGATTTCAAGTCAGGTACATACATTCCAATTAATCCTAACTATCAAACAGTGCAGTCAGATTCAGTTATTTATCAAATTGGTTAAAAAGTTTTTCTATCTAAGGAAACCCAGCAGATTGCATCGAGTCAATGACTTGTAGCATTCAATCCTCCTGGATGAGCAACATTGGACAGTCACTGGTGTTGACTTTGCAGCAATCCCTCATACTGAGCATGCATGTAGCGACAGTGGAGAGGAAAAACTCCCTTTTAACAGGAAAAACCTCCAGCAGAACCAGGCTCAGTATAAGTGGCCATCTGCCATGACCAACTGGGGCTTTGAGAGAACAGAGCAGAGACATAAAAAAAACAGAAGCACTGATTCAGGAGAACTTTCTATGGGAAGGAAAATTAAAATGTTAATGGTTGTAGCTCATTTAGTGGCTTCATGTAGGAAGAAAAAACAGATAAACTCTGAGCCAGTTTTCAAGTTTAGAGTATGAGAGAGAGCACATACAGTTAGTCACAGTAAAAGCTCAGTCAGTAGCTATGTCTAGGAGAAAGATAGGGTTAAACACTGAAAGACAGGGCCAAGTGTATCATCGGTAGAAGGTGAGCATTAAGTTGTTGACAGCAGGAACTTGGACGATGCCCCCCTCCAGGAAGGTGTCACAGGTAGACACAGAGTCAGGCCAGGTGTAGATTTTGGGAAGAGAATAGATAGAGAACATAAAGTTAAAAGCTGAAATAACAGCAAATAATGCAAAATTGGAGAGTAGTATGAGAATGTAGCAGAGAGAGTGAAAGTTGTCATTATGTCCTCCAGCAGCCTAAGCCTATAGCAGCATAACTACAGAGATAGCTCAGGATAACCTAAGCCACTCTAACT